CATTCCCTTTCTTTCTGGAAGAACATACATGAGTAAGACCCTATTGGGCAGAGTTATTTCTGCATGGTGTAGGACTAGGTGGTTCTCTGATGCAGTGGTCTTACGAAAATGATACCCTTCTTGTGATCCCCATCAGCATAGGTTGAGAACTGGGTCATTTATTTTCAAATGAATTCCAGCTGAATTATGTTATAATAGTTTTTTTTTTTAATGTTTGTTTATTTTTTAGAGAGCTCAAGCAGGGCAGGGGCAGAGAGAGAGGGAGACAGAGGATCTCTCTGATACAGCAAGCTCTGTGCTGACAGCAGCGAGCCTGATGCAGGGCTTGAACTCAAGAACTGCTAGATCATGACCTGAGCCAAAGTCAGACACTCTACCACTGAACCATGCAGGTGCCCATAGATCATGTTATAAAGACAAGAAGAAGAAAGGCGAGGGAAATTGGCGGTGGAAAGGGTTGTGTCATCAGGAGGCTAACATGCTACTAACCTGTTTACCCAACTGACACAAATACTATCATATAAATAGCTATCATTTATTTATTTTTTATTTTTTTTTAATGTTTATTTTTTTGAGACGGAGCATGAATGGGGAGGGCCAGAGAAAGAGGGAGACACAATCTGAATCAGGCTCCAGGCTCTGAGCTATCAGCATGGAGCCCGATGCGGGGCTTGAACTCTCGGACGATGAGATCATGACCTCAGCTGAAGTTGGACACTTGACCAACTGAGCCACCCAGGCACCCCAATCAATAGCTATCATTTACTGAATGGTTACCATGTTCTAAGGCTTTATCCCATTTTGGTTCTCACTCTGTTAGCTATAGGTATTATTAGTGCCATTTTATGAATTAGGAAACTGAGGTTTAGTGAAATTGAATAACTTACCTAATTTCTCATCTGTTAAATGGTACAAGTGGTACCAAACCCAAGTCTGTCTGACTCTAAAACCCATGCTTTGAACCAGAAGTCTACTGCTATAAATTCCCTTTATTGCAGAATTTATTGTTTGCATTTATTTATGTCTTTAGAATTGTCCAAATTGGGCCACACTTAATTTGAGTTTAGTTATAGAGGAATTCTAGTGGAAAAGAGGATGCCATATAAACATTTTTATGATTGTAAAGCTCTCTTAATTCTTGACAGAGGGCCCTTTTTGAAATTAGTTGTCTAGCATTTTTTACTAACTTCATTTCATTCTCTGAAGAATGAAGGAATTTCCAGCCTTGTATTAAATTGCAGAATGTATAGCATTCTTTCTATAGTTGAACCAAATAAACATTAGCAAGTGTGTTTGTTTGTTTGTTTGTTTATTTATTTATTTATTTATTTATTTTCAATATATGAAATTTATTGTCAAATTGGTTTCCAGCAAGTGTGTTTAGAATGTGAGACTGGTAGTTCGTTCCTGTCTTTATTTTTTTAATTTATTTTTAAAGAGGTTTTTGGGATGGTAGCCAATTTGAAGCTTGGTCTTTCTGATAAAGAAGTGACAATAGGCAAGTTCCCTGGCTCCTGGAATAAGCCTTACTTCAGTTTCTTTGATGACTTTTGGGCTTGCTTTTGCGAGTGACCCTGGGAACAGTGCATTCTAACTCGAAAACTCAGTGGGTGGAGGAAGTGTGTGTTGAGAGCAGTAGTTCTTAACCTTTCTGGAGGTTACATTGCTCCCTTTTGAAGCCTTTCCTCTGGAAAAAATGCATATATGCACACAAATACAGTTTTTCATACAAATGCTATGGTCTATATAATGCTATATAACCCCCAAAGTCTATTGACAACTATACCCCAGGTTAAAGATCCTTTAAAGGAAAAAAATGAGGGAGCTGAAAATAAGATTTGAGCAGAGCTGTTAAACGTTTTTTCATAGATGTGCATCTCATAAGATTGATTTTACTAACATAAAAATCTTGTTTTAGTATCTAAAATGTTTTATTCGGCCTCTAAAATGTGGGTTTTTCTCACTTTGTTAAAAAAATTAAGTCACTTGGGTGACTCAGTTGGTTAAGTGTCTGACTCTTGATTTTGGCTCAGGTCAAGATCTCCTGCTGTGAGTTTGAGCCCCATATCGGGCTCCATGCTGTCTGTGCGGAACCTGCTTGGGACTGTCACTCTCTCTCCCTCTCTCCCTCCCTCTCTCTCTGCCCCTCCCCCATACATGCACACTCTCCTTCTTTCTCAAAACAAATAAATAAACTTAAAAAACAAAATAACAACAATAAAAATTAAGGTTGTTCATAAGTAAGCTAAGACTCACAGGGGTAAATGAAGTTTTCTGTTGATTTCTAACTTTTGCTTTTTCAATTTTATTTTTCTTCTACCAGCAAAACATTTTCTCAGAACTATTAATAAGGCTAAGATTTAATTTTGTTTTTATCTATTTATTTATCATTTTATTAAAAAAAATTATATCCAAATTAGTTAGCATATAGTGCAACAGTGATTTCAGGAGTAGATTCCTTAACGCCCCTTACCCATTTAGCCCATCTGCCCTCCCACAGCCCCTCCAGGAACCCTGTGTTTGTCTCCATATTTAAGAGTCTCTTATGTTTTGTCCCCCTTCCTGTTTTTATATTATTTTTGTTTCCCTTCCTTTATGTTCATCTATTTTGTTTCTTAAAGTCCTTATATGAGTGAAGTCATATGATATTTGTCTTTCTCTGACTAATTTCACTTAGCATAATACCCTCCAGTTCCATCCACGTAGTTGCAAATGGCAAGATTTCATTCTTTTTGATTGTATAAGGCTAAGATTTAGATGAAATCCTTTGGCAATCCCCAACTTTAGTTTCCATTTCTTCTTCAACCAGAATTTCTTTGTAACAGGCATCTACACAGTACTTCTAATGCGAGTGTTCAGGTGGTGTTCCCAGCAGGTTACATGTTTCATTACATCAATCCTCACAATAACCTTGTTTGGGACTTATTATCGTCCCCACTTTACAGATGCAGAAATCAATGCTAAGAAAGATTAGATGACTTAGTTAAGACCAGTGCCAGTACTAAAGGCAGGGTCAGGATTTGAACCCATGTAGATCTACCTTCAATGCCTATTTTCTCTCTGTTTTACCATCTGGTTCCGTGATCAGAGTTGATCACTTTTTCCTGATTACTAGTTTGACCTGATTCAAATTTTAGAAGCCCCAGTTCCCAATCAGTGGTGAGGGTGCTTTTATTTTCTTCTACAGGTAGCCAATTGTAAAATTATTGAATTTTTGTGTGTATAAGTTAGACTTTAGGTTGTGAAATGTCTAGCGTGCTGATTTACTGACTAGGTTGTTAACCCAAAAGGAAAGAGCTTTAGCTGGATGACCTCCTGCCTTTTCTGTTTATGTAAATGGATGTTTCAGATACCAGAGTCTGACAGAGACAATTCCAGTGACTGAAACATTTGTGGAAGGCTTGTTACTAAACTTAGCATCATTTTCAGGAAGGAAAAATCCTAATGGTTTGTAACTGAAAAAGAGCTTAACTCTAAAGGGTACATAAGCTTTTATCAAATTGACTAAAGGCCAGGTGTGTGTTTCCTAACTCTCATGGGATAGCCATGGAGGGAACCTTTGGTCAGCTAGCTGCCTAGTGGTTTTCTCTGAGATGGCAGGCAGGGTCAGCATTGTGGGAAGGTACTTCAGTTTGCTGAGTGAGTTTTGTGAGACTCAGCATCTTTTTTGACAAAATTATTGTTCTTCCAAACCTTGTACTTTTCCTAGTTGCAGCCTTTTTATGTACAGTGAAACAGGGAGGAGAATGAGTAGGTTGATTTACTATATAACTTTATTTTATTTATTTATTTATTTAACGTTTATTTATTTTTGAGACAGAGAGAGACAGAGCATGAACGGGGGAGGGTCAGAGAGAGAGGAAGACACAGAATCTGAAACAGGCTCCAGGCTCTGAGCTGTCAGCACAGAGCCCGGTGCAGGGCATGAGCCCACAGACCACAAGATCATGACCTGAGCCGAAGTCGGACGCTTAACCGACTGAGCCACCCAGGCGCCCCTATATAACTTTAGATGTACATTTTTTTTTTATCTTGAACTGATTACACAGAGTTTTAAGTGAGATAGCACAGAAAGAAGATAGAATGCTAAGAGAGATTAATTGACATGATTGGGAGGACAAAGAAGTTAGTTAAGATAATGAAAATTTAGTTATCTCCTTGTCTTTTTAAAATTTTTTTATTAAAAATTTTTTTTTTTTTTTACTTTGAGAGAGTGAGTATGTGAAAGCAGGGGAGGGGCAGAAAGACAGGGAGAGAGAACCCCAGGAAGGCTATATGCTGTCAGCACAGAACCTGACATGGGGCTTGATCTCATGAACTGTGAGATCATGACCTGAGCCAAAATCAAGAGTTGGACACTTAACCAACTGAGCCACCTAGGCGCCCCATCCCCTTGCCTTTTTAAAAATGAGACTAGTGTGTATGAATATCTATACCATTTAACTCTTAAGGTGATGAAACTCAGTATAAAGGAAAGTTAAGTTGAATGATTTGAAGATATGGGGTGAAATCAGATACACATATATAAATTATCTTAAGTCATCCTTTTTGAGTCTTTACAAATTAAAGGAATACATTTTGTAAAAACTTTCTGATAACAGAAATTTCAGAAAGTTTAAAAAGGATTAAGTACAGTTCAAATGGCAGGATTGTTAAAAGCTACTTTGACTGCATAGTATACATGCTTGGTTAGGGTGAGGAAATTAGCTTTGAAAGCTTTGTGCCCTCTTTCCCGTGTGCTTTCTTGAAACGAAGTGTGGGATTCTGGCTTGGAGGGTCAGGTCCTCTCCAACGTTTCCATTTTGTTCTCCCTGCTGTAAGTTTACAAACAGTTCTTCACATTATGATCTATAAAAATATAAACAGCCTTTCTGGAGCCAAATTAATTTTGTTTTTATGGTTCATACTGCATGACACTGGAGTGGGGTAGGAGGGTGGAGATACAAGGTGTTTGGACCCTTCTTGTTTATGGGATTGTCTTTTTCCCTTTTTCCCCTTAGGAACGGCGTGAATGTTGAGGGGGCGACACACAAGCAGGTGGTGGACCTGATCCGAGCAGGCGAGAAGGAATTGATCTTGACAGTGTTGTCTGTGCCTCCACATGAGGCAGATAACCTAGATCCCAGTGAAGACTCGTTGGGACAATCATTTTATGACTACACAGAAAAGCAAGCTGTGCCCATATCGGTCCCCACATACAAACATGTGGAGCAGAATGGTGAGAAGTTTGTGGTGAGTGTCAGCCCAACTCAGTCCTCAAAACATCTAGCTTTTGTTTCCCCCAGGCTTATCATTTATGATTTATACTAGAGCACTAGATGCAATCACCTCAACCTAGGTCAGTTTGCCTACCAGGAGATGGGTTCACACATAAATAAAAGACACTGACCGTGATTTTTTTTTGCAGGAGGTGAACTACAGTAATGAAGAAGATTTCTCTTTCTGCTTAAGTGTATTCCATTTTATTTCCAGACAGTTTTAAATTTGTATTTGTATTCTGGTTGTAAACACGTGTGAGTTGGTTTTGTTTGTTCTTTTATTAGTTGCTGTATCTCTTTGCTACTAGCAGTCTCTCACTTACTATTGACTCTGCTGAGCTGTAGAGCAAGATTAATTTTAAAAGGTGGTGTCTTCCGAAACATTTTGGTAATACAGAGTTTGTCCACATCAGAACCTGCAAGTGCCCTACCCTTCTCTCCACATCTTGTTCTTTTTCATTTTCTTTGGAGATGTCCGTGTGAATGATTAATGTGGGTTTTTCCCAAGGTCCTAATTATACTCTGAATACAGTTCCCATGAACTGCTCTATTACATTTCCAGTCTGTTCCTGTTGTAGATGTGTGGGAAAGCCCACCTTGAGTTCTGGGTGCCCGCCCCTTTTCTGAGTGCCTTTGCTTGTTCCTCAAAACCCAGTTGCTGTTGATAGCCCAATCTACTTACTTTTTCTCTTGATTGTGGTATGCTTTATTTGCCTTTGATTATTTGGGGAGTGTTGATATAATGAGAAATTGATTATTCTTTGTAGAAAGTGCAGTGGGTTCTGTTAGACATTGACAAATAGACTACACATGTTTCAAGCTGAACGGCTGACTCAAGTTGCTGTCTCTGAAACTGAGATTTGTTCCCTGTATAGGAATGAGCTACAGGACACTTGTGGTAAATTCTTTTTAGTGAGGAGATGAGAAAAGCAAGCAAGTAAGCCAGAAAAATTCAGAAGGATCAAACAATGTTCAACTGCATCTGTAATTTAGCTGGTGATGGTAGTACAGAGCACAGTCTAGGTTGGCCTGGTCTATGGATTCTCAGAGCCATGTACACAGTTTAGAGTTTCGTATTTCAGAGGTGCTATCCATTCAGTCATAAGGCATGTAAAGAGTAGAAATCAAGGTCAGGTCCTAAAATTAGAGCACAATGGATGTTGAGACCTTTTGGGAATTACCTGGGATCTTGAGAACCTTTGTAGTCTTTAGAAAAGGAATGAAACTGATTGTCCCTTTTAGAAAAGGAGTGAAACTGATTGTCCCTTTTAAGAAAATCAACATTATTGAACGCAATTTACCTGCATTAACATGTCCAGTTTCATGAGTTTGGGTAAATGTACATAGTTTTATAATCACCACCGTCACAATCAAGATAGAAGAATACTTTCACCACCCAGAGACTTCTCTTGTGACCTTTTATAGTTAGCCCTTTCCCTGTAGCACTACCCCTGTTGACCACTGATCATCTTTCTGTTACTCTATTTTGCCATTTCTAGGATGTCAAATCAATAGGATCATATAAGTAGCTTTTTTGTGTCTGGCATTGTTCATTTAGTGTAGTGCTTTTAAGATTTATAGTTGTTGTGTATGTCAGTAGTTTGTTTCTTTTAATTGCAATTACTTTTTAATTGGATAACTTCATTGCAGTTTGTTTATCCAGTGACTTGTTGATGCACGTTTGGGTTGCTTCCAGTTTGGGGCTATTATGATTAAAGCTGCCATGAAATAACATTAATATACAGGGCTTTAGGTAGATACATGTTTTCATTTCTCTTGAGTAGCTATAAGTGGAATTGCAGGGTCATATGGTAAAAGTTTAACCTTATAGTCAAACTGTTCTCCAAAGAGGCTGTACCATTTTTGCATATTCTCATTTGCAGTGGAGAGTTCCAGTTGCTCTATAACCTCTCTAATGCTTGGTATTATCGGTTTTTAAAATTCTAGGCATTGTAGTGGTATCTTCGTCTTTTTGTTTTTTTAATACTGTATTTATTTTTTTTTAATTTTTATTTATTTTTTTAAATTTACATCCAAATTCGTTAGCATATAGTGCAACAATGATTTCAGGAGTAGATTCCTTAGTGTCCTTTACCCATTTAGCCCACCCCCCTCCACAACCCTTCCCGTAACCCTCAGATTGTTCTCCCTATTTATGAGTCTCTTCTGTTTTGTTCCCCTCCCTGTTTTTATATTATTTTTGTTTCCCTTCCCTTATGTTCATCTGTTTTGTCTCTTAAAAGTCGTCATATGAGTTAAGTCATATGATTTTTGTCTTTCTCTGACTAATTTCACTTAGCATAATACCCTCCAGTTCCATCCATGTAGTTTCAAATGGCAAGATTTCATTCTTTTTGATTGCCGAGTAATACTCCATTGTATATATATACCACATTCTCTTTATCCATTCATCCATCAATGGACATTTGGGCTCTTTCCATACTTTGGCTATTGTCGATAGTGCTGCTATAAACATGGGGGTGCATGTGTCCCTTCAAAACAGCACACCTGTATCCCCTGGATAAATGCCTAGTAGTGCAATTGCTGGGTCGTAGGGTAGTTCTATTTTTAATTTTTTGAGGAACCTCCACACTGGTTTCCAGAGTGGCTGCACCAACTTGCATTCCCACTTTTTTTTTTAAATTGTTTTTTAATGGTTATTTATTTTTGAGAGACAGAGTGTGAGTGGGGGAGGGGCAGAGAGAGAGGGAGACACAGAATCTGAAGCAGGCTCCAGGCTCTGAGCTGTCAGCACAGAGCCTGACGTGGGGCTCGAACTCATGAACCATGAGATCATGACCTGAGCTGAAGTCGGACACTCAACCAACTGAGCGACCCAGGCGCCCCTCTCCGTCTGGTTTTAATTGCATTTGCCTAAAGACTCATGATGAAAGCTTTATTTTCATGTATTTAGTGGCCATTCTTATATTTTTACTGGTGAAGAGTTCAACTTTTTTCCCCATTTTAAAACTTGGATTGTCCTATTTTGTTGTTGAGTTCTTTATGTATTTGGAGTCCTTTTTCAGATAGATATTTTGTGAAATATTTCTCCCAGGCTGTGGCTGGCCTTTTTATTTTATTTTTAATAGTGTCTTTCAAAGAACAGAGGTTTTAAATTTTTTTGAAGTCCAGTTTATCTTTTTCATTTATGGGTCGTGTTGTAAGAAACCTGCCTAACCCAAGGATACAAATCTTTTATGTCTTCTTGAAAAAATTTTATAGTTTTAGCTCTCTGTTTTTGTAATAACTTTATTGAGGTATGATTCACATACCAGCAGTTGTATACCTTAGGTGTATATAATTCAGTGGTTCTTAGTATGATCAACAGAGTAGTGCAGCCATCACCACAATTTTAGAACGTTTTCCTCACCTCAGAAAGAAACACTGTACCTTTTAGCCACCTCCTCCAAACCTCCCATCTGCTCTCTACTAATCTATTTTCTGTCTCTATGGATTTGCCTCTTCTGGACATTCCATGTAAATGAAATCATATGTGTTCTCAGGGTTTATCCATGTTGTAGTGTGTATCAACCAAGTAATATTCCATTGTCTGGATATACCACATTTAATTTATCTGTTCTTCAACTGATGGACATTTGGGTTATTTCTACTTTTTGACTGTTATGAATAATGCTGTTTTGAGCATGTATGTACAATTTTTGATGTGGATATGTGTTTTCATTTCTCTTGGATATTACGTAGAAATGGAATTACTGGGTCATATGGTAACTCTTATGTTTAACCTTTTGAGGAAATGCCAGACTTTTCTCCAAAATGGCTGCATCATAGTTTTCGCTCTTATGTTTAGGTCTGGGACCCGTTCTGAGTTGATTCTTGTATCAATACTAAATGATATAAGGGTCAAGATTTTTTTTTCCCCATTTGATATCCAGCAGCCTGTGTTGAAAAGGAATATCTTTTCCCCATTGAAATACCTTGGCTTTATTGTTGAAAATCAATTGAACATGTGGTTCTATTTCTGTATTCTGTTGGTTATGTCTGAACATTTCAATATTTTTGTTATTTTGAGATTGTCTTCTGTTTAGTGTCTTTTCCCTTGAAAATGGGTCATATCCTCCTCCTTTGTACGGTGAGTAATTTTGGATTGTATCCTGGATATTGTGAATGTTGCATTGTGTAGGCCCTGAGTTCTGTGATATTCGCTGAGGAATGTTGATGTTTTGTTTTACCTGGCAATTAACAAGCTATGCCGCTTGTGTGTTGTACTTCATGTTTCAGTTCAATTCTTTCAGGCTTTTCTGTACTACTTTGAATCTGTTCTGCATGTGTATCATTCAGGGAGGGATTAGTATGAGATACTTGGTGTTCATTCACAAACTTAAGGCATCCTTTTCTGTGTTTCTTTCTTCTGGAATTCTCTACTCTTTCTGGTGGCGGCCATGGTTGCCTAGAATCCTTTCTTTCCTCCAGGCAGGAAGACGTCAGGGTTTCTATTGGAGTTTTTAGTTGCCTAAGTTAGGCTACTTTGTAACTTATGCCCACTGTCTGGGCAAAGCCCCCTAAAAGCAGGACACCTCCCCCCACCCCTCTCAGTGGTGTGCTCCATATTTTAATGTCCCTCTGCAATCTGCTTGCAGTTAGTGTAGTATTCAGAATTCTCGGGTAATTGATTTTTGCGTTTGGTCCAGAGTTTGTAGTTGTTATCACTGGAAAGGTTGGTCTATAGGAGACTCTTAGGTTCTATCAGTTTTTTTCATATATAATGAAGCTGTTGCCTTCTTGATGAATTGGCCCCTTTAATGTTGTGAAATATCTCTTTATCTCTTGTAATATTCTTTGTTCTGAAATCTTTCTTTGATATTAACATATGGCTGCTAATAGCTACTTCACCTTTGATTATTGTTCTCATTGGATATCTTTTCCATCCTTTTACTTTTAACTTATCTATATAGCCGTGCTTAAGGTAAGTCTTATAGACAGCATATACTTGTGTCTTGCTTTTTATTTGGCAGT